CTAGTGAGATCAGCACCATATTACAGAAGAGTTTGCCTGACCAGGATAAAGAAATCTTTTCAAGAACTTTGCCTGACCAGAATAGAAGCTTGGAGACCTCAGCTGTTGTCCAAGAAAGCCTTTTCACCATCTGAGGAACTTAATGAGAGATGGGAGTTGGATCTTCTATTCTTACCTGTTACTCACCTTTTGGTATCATAATTATTTCCTGGAGGATGAACATACATAATTGGAGGGAACACTTTTTCTAGAACTTTCTTTTCTACATTACCAAGGATGTATCAAGATACATGAGTGAACCAATAGAAGCTTGTTTACATTCCAAAAACTGACGTATTTTGTGTCAGTCAATCATCTTTGGTGAGGATTTGTGCCACCCAAAATTTAGAATCAAACTGAGGTAGGTAAAATTTTCTAGAAAACCATAAACATGGGAGCTCTAAGAGGGTTAAGACAGTCAAAAAGAGAGAAAATAAGTCTTTTTACTATAGAAAACCTCTATAAACCTCTCACTTAAAAGGTCAGGTACTTCACAATCAGTTTTTCTTTCTTTGGAAACTTTCTTGCCATTGGTATCAAAGATATTACTTGACTTTTCTTGGTCACTAGAAGTTAAGTTTTTGAGTGAAAAGGTTTGTAAAAAATAGGAGAAAGGTAAAAGTGACTCTTGAAGTCATACTTCAAGTTGTTTTAAGAAAAGTGTTAAGACTTTATTAGTAAGAAAGTGTAAAAACTTCTTGTAAACATCTTTTTTATATGTTGTCAGAGAATCAGTGGAAAGAGTTTTTCTATTTTTATAGATAAATTGTTAATTTGGTATAGTTTATTTATCTTATTTATTTATATTGTTTTATAATATTTTTGCGATATTGATTAATTTGTTTACTAGATTGATCATTGTTTATTACAAACAATTAATAATTTTTACTATTTAATTTTATTTATTTATCGGATTAATGATTGTTAATCTGCTTTTGTTATAATGAGTCAATTCATTTATATATAAATTTTTAATGAACCTTGTTATATTGTTTATTATTTATGTGTATATATTTGTATAACTTGTTATAATATTTAGTTAAAAGTAATTGCAGAATTAGAATACTTTATTATTTAGTTCTTAAAAGCCTTCAATGACCTTCTGAACTTTATAAACTTTAAATTTTTTCTAATTTATTAATAGAAATTATTGTTTGTAAAGTTTTTTCTAATGCCTAGAAATATATAAACTGATATCAGTCTAGCTAAAGCTTGAAAAGTTAATATTAGACACTCTTAAGTTTATTGTAATTAATTTAATAGTGAAATTATTTTTGCTAGTAAAAATAAGACTGTAAAAAATCAAGTATTGTTTTTTAAAGTTTTTTTTTGATTTTTAAAAAAGTTTTATAGTATATAGCTAAGTATTATATTTACTGTTTAATATTTACTTGTATAGTATTTTGAGTTAACTTTTCTTTTATAAAGAAATTATTAAAAAAAAAAATTTTTTAAAAAAAAGTAAATTAGTAAAAAAAGTAATTTATATAATAATACTATTAATTTTTGATACTATTATGAAAGCAATTAATAAAAAAATTCATAAAATGTTTTTTTTATTGATAAATTTAGAAAAAACTGAAAAAATATTTCTTTATAATATGATCTTAGCTTATGTAAGATCATCAAGTAGTTTGAATGGAATTGCAATAACTATAACATTCTTAGGTATTGTTGTATTGTTGATAAGTGATAGAAAAACCGAAAGATTTAAACTATCACTTTACCAATTGAAAAAAATTTTAAATTGGTCAACTTAATTTGGGATAAAGCTCTTATAGTATATATACTGTATATACTTTTGAAGCAGTTGCCAAAATATTTAAAAATGTAACAAATGTAGACAAATTATTTGAAGATAAGGTAATTGTCCTTGGAAGAGACTTTAGACAAATATTACCTATTATGATTAGAGATACTTATATATAAATTGTTAATACATATTTGAAACTTTCATTCTTTAGAAAAATATTCAAAATATGAAATTAACAATTAATATGAGAGTTCAACAACAACATAGTGTTGAACAAAAAAACTTTATTAATTTCTTATTAAGAATGGATAAAGTTAGAGAACTTGTGAATTTTGATATTAATAATGATTTCATAAGATTACTTGATGATTTCATTCTTGATAATAAAAATCTTGATGAATTGATATCACAAATTTTTCATAATATTAATTCAAATTATCAAGATAAAAATTATTTTAAAAATAGGATAATTTTTATAACAAAAAATACAGATATAAAAAAAATTAATTAATAGGTATTAAAATATATTCCTAATGAAATCTTTGAATTCCTATCTGCAGATTTAGTTAAGGATAAATATAAAATTGATCAAAGTCTTTGTCTTTTTGAATTTTTAAATACCCTAATATCAAATGAGATACCTTCCTATAAATTAGTGCTCAAAAAATATTTCTATGATTTTTTTAAGGAATTTCAATTTATTATAAGGATTGTATAATGGCATCAGATTAATAATTAAAGAATATCAACAATATATTATTAATGCAAAAATCTTAACAGGAATCAGTAAAGGAAAAAAAGTTTTTATATCTCGAATAAAATTAACATCAATTAATTCTAATCTCTTATTTTAATTAATTAGAAGATAATTTCCTATGGCTATAAATAAGGCACAAGGTCAAACAATTATAAATTTGGGATTGTATTTACCTAAATCAGTTTTTATATATAGACAATTATATGTAGCTTTATTTAGAGTTTAATTCAAAATAATATTAAAATCATGGTGAAAAATGAATGTATAATGGGAAAAAATAAAAAATATATAAAAATATTATATATAGAAAGATATTTATAAATAAAAATATAAATATAAACAATTTTCTTTTTTTTTTCTTTGAAACAAAAATTAAAAAAAAAATCAAAAATTTATAAATTTTCTTTTTTTTTCATTTAAAAAAAATTAAAATAAAAAAAAAATTATAAAAATTATAAAATAAAAAAATTTTATAAAATTATAAAAATTATAAAAAAAATATAAAAATTATAAAATAAAAAAATTATAAAATTAAAAAAAATTTAAACAAATTATAAAATAAAAATAAATAAATAAAATATTATATCTAGAATAATATTTTTAAATAAAAAAATTTTTTTTAAAAAAAATTTTTTTCTTTTTTAAAATTAAAAAAATTTTTTGGAAATAAATTTTTCTCTTTTAAAATAAATTTATTTTTTTTATAATAATAAAATCATTATTTTTAAAAAATAAAAATTAAAAATAAAACACTTTTTCTTTTAGATAAAAATAAAAAAGAAATATTTTTTAAAAAGAAAATTACTCAAATAATTAATCATAGAGTATAGTCCAGATCTTTATACTAGTTAAAATTAAACTATATAAAAATAAAAATTATTTATTTTAAAATTTTTTAAAAAAGTAAAACTCAAATAACCAATCCTGAAATATAATTCAAACCTTTATACTATTTAAAATTAAACTATATAAAAAATAAAAATTCTTAAATAAAAAACCATTTTTTATAAAAATTAAACACAATTTTTAAATTTTTTAAAAAAGTAAAACTCAAACAACTAATCTTGAAATATAGCCCAGGCCTTTATGCTTGTTTTTTCTACAACATTGCTGAATTTTGTGTTGATTTTTTTTGTTGATTTTTTACAAATATTTTTAATGATAAATATTAGCAATTAAAAATAATTTGTCAATGTTTTTATTATTATATTTTATTAAATTTGACAATAATTTAATTGCCAAATAATATAATTTTGACTAGTGATATCTTTTACAAGAATTTTAAAATAAAAAAATATAAAGTTTATTATATAAAATAAAAACATCCTATCAATTTAATTATGGGTGACCTACATGTTGAAAAAAATTTTAATATTAATATTTATTTGAATAGAGAATGGTAGATTTTTTTTAAAAAGATAGATGTAATAGTATATGTAATAAATCTATTTCAAAATCCAAAGAAGATATTATATCATTAATTATATTAAAAACAAGTTCTTTGTTTATTAAAACAAAGAAGATATCAATCATTGCTATTGCCAATATTCTCAATAATGAAATGACCAAACACCTAGAAAACAAGCCAAAGAAGACTTTGGAAGAAATATATGCTTTAAGGCAATATCATATTGCAGATTGTTATGGAATATTACTTGAATCTTTGACTGAAGATTTTATTTCAGATTATGGTAGATATGATCCGGAAATTGGAACTAATAATGAGCCAGCAGTTAAAGCTATCACCCGTGAAGATTATAGAAATGATAGGCGAACCACTGTTACCTACACTCATCAAAGATATCGATGATAGAAATAATATACAGCTGATATTGTTAAATCGTGTCTAGAATCACCTAAGTCCATGAAGTATCTCTAAGATTTAGTGCCAAAAAAGGCTCGAGTTTTTGATAATACAGACGCGTCTCGTGGTGCTAAAAGACCTGGTTTAAATCGGATAAAGCGAAACTTGGTTTATTAAATTCAGCGCTTTCCGCAACTTATGGGACAAAGTTTAAAGCTAATAACAATAAACTAATTTATCATTATCATCTAGTAGGCATGTTCGATAAAGAAAGAGTACCAAAGTTGCCGATGGGTGGACAGTTCTGTGAAAATGGTAAGGATATGCGTTATGGGTATAGTAAACTCTCACCCAACGAACTAGAGATCGCTCTCAGTTTTGATATACAGTTGCGTCAAGAATTATTTGAGGTAGCAATTTAGATAAAATCGGCTCGTGGATCGATAGCAAAACAGTTATTGTGTAGCAGGAAGGAACTCTCATTTTACGGGTTAGGGCTCAATATGTTTCCTCCCTTGAAACATTCATTTTATAAATTGATTTTGAAAAAATTAAAGATTTTCGCTTATAAAAAGATTTACAAATTTCAGACAAAAATAAAACTTTTTTATCGTTTCATCAATGTGAACTAAAATTTTCTCTATAAACTAAGATAGATATCGATTGATATCTCTGCTGACATTTCTAAATCCCATTACTACCCGAATGTAATCGGGATTAATTTCAAAAGATTTATTCCGAATTTTTCTAGACTTAATTTCCACTGTCACGTCTGTATCACTTTCGCTTGTAATCCATATAAATATTATCTCTAATCCATCCTCGAAGCCTGGTAAGTTTGATTTTAAATTTGGCCAAATACTGGAGAAAAATTTTACCTCAGAATCCGAATGACCACTCTTATCAAGGGTAACCTCTATTGGGGCAACATACAACTTATTATTTGTTTGCGAAATCAGTAATCCATCAATCGCCTCTTGGTTCCAACGTGGTAAGTAAAGCATACATTTCCCTTCATTCGAAGAAAATCGGATTTGTTTTTCATAATTAAAAAATTCCATATCGTCAGGCTTAAAATTTACACCGTTTGCCATGATTCCATTCTTAAGAATACTAGCAATACACGCCTTCTCCACAAAAAATCCTTTAACCGATGGGTTGTTTTTGAATTTCTCGATGCAACTGATCCACTTTATATCTGCAAATACTTCCATTTTGCCCTTTTTATAGAGATGATTCGCCATGCAATCCCGTGCCGTCCCACAGACATAATGACAGAACCCATTTTCAAGCGATGATCAAAATCATCAACTCCGTAGCCACTCGGTGGACGTCCTTTTGTCAGGAACGATGACATCAAGTCGACGTGACTGTGTAAATAGAGAAGTCAGGTTTCATACAGTTTACCAATCACAAAGCAAACTAAAAATACATACAATTCCTGTCTTCCTTCTGGTATAGTGTCTGAAAAGTTCGTCATCGGATCATGTATCTTTGATGTTAGTTGTTGATTTAAGTTGTCCAATGCATCTTCAAAATTCTTGCAATCAGATTCCAGAAAAATGTTTAAGAAGAGCGGAATATTGCCAGTGATGTCTTCAATCTGATCCTTCTGCTGATTATCCATTACTGGTAAAACGGAATTATGCTTCTTCCACCACTCTTC